AGAGCTCTCTCAGCCCCACCTACCTCACAGGGTGTCTGTTGTGGGGAGGGGAAGGGAAAGGGATTGTAAGCTGCTCTGAGACAGTGAAGGGTGGGGTATAAATCCAATCTCCTCCTCCTCCTCCTTCTCTCAGCACCCCTGCATTCCCAGGTAGTTGTAGTTTTTGAACCTTTTAAAGAAAATCATACACTAGCATGCTATGATGTTGTGAATGATGGTGGCCAGATTTCCTAACCAAGAGATGGTACAAAAGGAGCAGCAAACTAATACGTTACTCCTTCCCTCTTCATGTGTTTAAAAAAGCTTTATGTTACATCCACACATTCAGCTGCTGATTAACAAGTGTTGGGCAAATAATGATGCAAACTGAAGCAGAGTGACACCTTTCTGAATCCACTAAAGTCAATGAACTGAGATGGGTATAACCAATGCTCCCTCAAACTGCAGAGTCTTGTGAGCGAAAATTCAACTTTGTGAGCTTCTGGCATTAAAGTTGTGAGCAAGTAATTTGGCTACTGCATAAAGTTTGTTCTGGAGCCATCCTTCCAGAGCTAAAACAAAAATGTGTGAGCCGGAGGCTAAAAAACTGAGCTAGCTCACACTAACTCATCTTAGAGGGAACACTGGGTGTAACTCTGCTTAGGATTGCCCTGTGAAGTGCGTACATGCATGCATGAACCAACCAGTGTGCCTGCATCACTGGGATGAAATATTCCTTGGGATGGGACACAGAGACTTGGGGGTGCTGAGAGACTAGACTTCCTCTTCCTTGAGATTTCAGGGAAAGAATATTTGCCCCACAAGAAATGGACAAACAGAGATACTATAATCCCTTGGCACAGAGGGACAGGGGTCCATCTTGTCTGATTACATCTGGAGGAAGAAACTCTCACACCTGAACTCTATCTGATGGCTTGAATATTCCTTGGCATTGCCATTCTTTGGGACTGCAATGTAAACTGATCTTTTCCAATCCTGTGGCCACTGTTGCACTTTCCAAATTTGCTGGCATATGGAGTGCAGCACCTTAACAGCATCATCTTTTAGGACTTTGAATAGCTCCGCTGGGATCCTGTACCATTCTTGAGCAAGGTTCTTAAATGAATGCTGGCTGGCCAGCTTCAGAGATTTCTGAATGAAGCGGATTTTTTGGATTCATTTCAATCTTATTTCAGGCCTGAGTCATAGGAGTGAAACAGCCTTGGTCATCCTACTGGATGATATGCACTGGGTGATGGACAGGGGAAGTGTAAACCTGCTAATTCTCCGGGACACCTCAGTGGCTCTCGATACCATCGTTTAACTTAAGGAACATTTTATTGGGAACATTTGGCTGTACAATTTCAGGAGAATATATAGTTGATCAGAGAGAAGTACTACTGGACATATGATTGCACTGGAGACTTCATTTGTATTTTTGTATTTCTTTTCTTTGCCCAGTGGTTAAACTTTGGAACAATTGTTTTCTGGTCTTTATTTCATATTTTGTATATGTATGATTGTATATATTTTTGCAGATCAGCCAACATGTTCTATTTATATTAGACCTCTGAGGAAGGCCTGTAAAGGCCGAAACGCGTTAGGTCTATTTCATTAGCCTTTGTATGTTTTTATATTTGTATATGAGGTATGAATGGGCCCTTATTTGTTATTTTAATTTGTGTTGAATAAATACATGTATATTTTTGTATGTTTCATTATTAGATTTTTAGAGCTGGCTCTCTTCTTTTCTTGACTAACCTTTTTAGGTTCTGAATTCTAGATTGTAGGTTCAGTTTTTTTCCCCTTTTCTCTTTTTTGTCCTTCTCGATACCATCGGCCATGGTATCCTTTTGGATCACCTTTCCAGACCGGGAGTCACTGTTCTGCATTGATTCCAGTCTTGTCTGAAAGGTAAGCTTCTGCGTGTGGTGCTGGGGGACTGGTGCTCTGCTTGTTGGCCTCTGGGTTCCTCAAGGTTCCATCCTGTCCTCCATGCTTTTCAACATCTATGCAAAGCTGCTGGGAAAGGTCATGTAGAGATTTGGGCTGAGCTGCCACCAGTATGCAGGTAATATTCAGCTCTCTCTTGTGTTACCAGAGAAGCAAGAATTCCCCGCACTACCTTCTAAGGCAGGGGAGTCAGACATGTGACCCACAGGCCAGAACAGGCCTGTTCAGGGTTCTTATCTGGCCCATGAGCAGCTGGTGTGAGGGAGGGAGCAAGAGGCTGCTCAGGGGGGTGAGTGGCTTCAGCATGGCGAAGCAACCTAATCGGCAGTCAAGCAAACCCCCTTTGCTTCAGTGGCAGCTTCACTGCTAATTCTGGGGCAGCTGCAGCTGCATTCAAGTCAGCTTGGGGCTCCAAGGCAAGGTCACATACCTCTCTGCTCGGCCTGCAGCTCTGAGGAGCCTGTCCCAGATGGCCACCTGGATTGGTGTTTGCACATGGGGGACATAGACAATCCTCTGCCGGGGCCTGCTGGTGACCAGCACCGCAGGTGTATTCCCCTTCCCCTGAAAGCTGTGCTTCGGCCCATGGAGGGAGCATTCATCTGCAGTTTCTTCTTCACATGACTAGTCCTGCCACCAAGCACATGACTCAGTGGCTGGGCCTTCCTCCGCCATGGGCCACCCAGCAGCCTTCAAACATAGACGGCTGCCATCTCATGGGAGGGTGCCAACAACCTCTGGTTATACTAGCCACTGGGTATCCTGTGGCCTCCACCACATATGCAGCCTTGTGTATGCAGTGCCTGCCACCCTCGGACAATCTGGCAGTCTTCAGCCTGGGGCAGCTGCCACCACATGTACATGGTGGGCTTGCCAGCAATGTCTGGCTTGAGCCCCTGGCATGCCCCCCCCCACACCCCATGAGTCTCTGGCTTATCAGGCTTTGCTTGGGCTGGGTCCTGCCACACGCGTGGCCTCATGCCTGGGCCACTCCCCCATGCTTCTGCAGGCAGTGGGGTTAGTTCAACTCATTCTCCTCGTCCCTTTCTGTGGTGGCCTCAGGGGCAGGGGGCAGCTTGCAGTACCCAGTCACTTTGTGTTTTTCCCCTGGGGCCTGGACTCACAGCGTTAGCAGTGGGAACGGGCTGGGGAAGGATTCCCCCCCTGGGCACTGTGGGGGCATCTGTCCAGTGCTGCATCATTTGATCTCCAGTCTACTCATGTGTGTTTTCCTCTGCACCACCACCCCCAGCCCATGGGGCCTTGCAGTGAGGACACGCCAACTCAGAGCTTGTAGCTCTGGTATGGCACACAAGGTGTGGCCCAGCAAAGTGACATTTATGTCAGATTCAGCCCTCATAACAAATAAGTTTGACACTGCTGTCTAAGATCTAACTGGATTTGGAAACACCCAATGTGATGTTCTCCACTGCAAATCCATGGGTCAAGGGCCAACATGGTGTAGTGGTTAGAGTGTCAGACTACAATCTAGGAAATCCATGTTCAAATCCCCACTCCACTTGCTGGGTGATCTTGGGCCAGTCACACATATTCATCCAAACCAACCTCACAGGGTTGTTGTGATGATAAAATGGAGGAGAGGAGAATTATGTAAGCCACTTTGAGTCCCTGTTGTGGAGAACAGCAGGAAATATGCAAACAAAAAAGGATGCTATAATTAATGAAATCAAAACCCGCTGAGAGGTCCCAGAGAACCAACAAGGTCACACTCTGACCCAGTGATCAACCAGGTCAATCAGAGTAGGTCCCTGTATTGAACCCATCTAGGGGTGCATGGAATCCTGAGTCTATTTATTCTGGAAAATTCAGAACCATGTCATGCTGTCCTACATTTAGTTTTGAGAGCCAGCATGGTATAATGGTTAAAGTGTTGGACTAGAATCTGGGAAACCCAGCATCAAATCTCGACTCTGCCATAGAAGCTTGCTGGGTGACCTTGGGCCAGTCCCACATATTCAGCCTAATGAACTTTACAGGGTTGTAGTGATGAGTGGAGAATGATATGAGCCACTCTGGATCCCTTTTGGTGCAGGTCTTTTAAATCTTTCAAAGCAACAGTGTTGGTGACAGGCCGTGGGGAAAGGCCATCCAAAACCCAGTCCACCAAAGCCCATGTGGCATTTCCATCCATTTATGATAATAAAGGTTAAGGGCCTGTTCAGACACATATGAACTGCTCAGTATGAAGGAACTAAAATCTGATCTAACTTGTCTGCGGGCTCATTTACTTATTTATTGATTCGTAGTCTGCCTTTCTTGTTAAGACTTGAGGCTAACTACAACCTCTGATTCACAATGGCCATTTTATGAGCACGGAAGCATATTGGCAGCTACTCCGTGCCATAATGCCCAACGTGGCTGCAGCATCACCCACATCCTATCTGTGAATGTAACACCTCTGTTAGGACATTCATTGCCACTCAAGCAGTTTTCAGTGCTAGATGTCCACAAATTGAGTTGCCAGTCCTCATGTGTTGAGCAGCCAAGTGAAAGCATGATTCTCTGAACCAGCTCTAACGCCGTGATCCCAATCTGAATGGGCTTAAAATGGAGTAGATCTGCAGAGCATTGCATGGTAAGCCACCAATGGGAATGGTCAAGCCCTGTACAAATGTTCAAAATTAATTCATATGGAAGGAACCTAAAACTGATGTCCTGGTTTAATCTTACAAAAGTTTATCCTTTTGAACTGATGCAATGAGCTGTATGAAGCCCAGAGCTGATATAGCAAATGACTCCCATTTTCACTTCCAACGGGGGGGGGGGTCCTATTAACCCTTCACGTTTTTGACTGAATAAAACCTGTCATTCAAATATTGACCACCATCTCAAAATACCATTTTTATTCTACATAATTTTCACATTCATATGGAAAGGAGAAAAGTGAAAGTACAGTATTTTAAGAAAGGGAAAATTCTGATGAATGGAAAGGGGCAGTTTCATCCCTCAATATTTAAAAGCCAAGACATGGCTCAAAGACTCACCAGACTCCAAAAGTCATTCCTCAAGGAACACATTCTGTACTCAAGCAAAGAGCATATACCACCATGAACGCCATACTTACACAAGGATGGCTCCATATATGCTTAGTGATGCTTTTCTTCAGTGAGGTCTCATCTCAGAGCTGCACCAGTCTTCGTGTACAGCTAACCACCACCACCAAGAACAGCCTGGGACTACTGAAGAGCAAAATGAGAACAAACCTTCCTCTCCAGTGCCTAAGTGACATGAGAGACTTTGTCGCCACCCAAGAAATTCTCAAGGAGATCCAAACGTCCCTGGAAGAGAATCCAAAGGTGGCCATTCATGAAATCTTCCAACAGATCATCCGCACCTTCAACCAAAACCGGACAGAAACGGCTTGGGATGAGAATTCCATGGCAGCATTCCAGACCAGACTTCACCAGCAAGTCCAGCATCTGGGAAGGTGCTTGAGTGCAGAGATGGAGAATGACATCCCGTCTCCAAGAGGTCAGAACATCCAGCTCACCAGGCTGAGAGTGAAAAGATACTTCCAAAGAATTGACAACTTCCTGAACGAGAAGCAGCACGGTCTGTGTGCCTGGGAAATTGTCCAGATCGAAGTCAAGCGATGTCTGCTGTTGGTGGACCAACTCACAAATAGGATCCAAAACTAAGAGGAACTGTGATTTCTAATATTAATTTTGTTTTGAACTGAACAACACATGCTAGCAAATATAGTAGGCAGCAATTAGAAATGTCCATCTCTTCTTCTCCCAGGACATTTCCCTGATATTATAGATGTTTCTTTTGAGCCATATTTCCAGATTTGGTTTGAAATTTTATAGTAAGCAAAACTCACCTGAGATTTTACTAACTTTGGTTCACATTAGTGAGGGTTGTTTTACTAATCCTAAACTTGCCCAGGAGAGGAAAATATCACCCAGAGACAACTCAGTTTTCAACCTGCATTACTGCCATGTGTGTTTTGTACATGTAGAAAACCCAGGGTTGCCAGGTCCCCTCCCCAGCCATCAGCGGGGGATGGGGGATAGGGTGGTCAGATCCAGGATGGGAAACTTCTAGAGATTTGGGGTTAGAGCCTGGGGAGGACAGGGACCTCAGGTGGGTACAATGCCATCGATTCCATCCTCCAAAAACATCCCTTTTCTCCAGGGGAACTGATCTCTGTAGTCTGCAGATGAGCTGCAATTCCAGGGGTTCCCACCTGGAGGCAGGCATCCCTAAGAAAACCTTCACAATTTTTAATGTTGCTCTTGAAGGTTTCATCTGGGCTGGAATCCCTAAACTGGTCTCAGATTTCACTTTAGGTGAAATTATGCTTGCCTTTCACATTTAGCCACCTATGTGTAATGGCTTTGGCTTTTCAAGCCATGTCGGATAAGGATGACAGATTGTGTAAGGAATGACGTGCACTCAGTCATGTGTTCACATCATTCTTACTCTGCTCCTCACCAAATGAGAGCCCGTCATGCAAAACTAGCCTCCATTCTGCTGCATGTGGAGAGGGCTTTAGCATGGCAATTCTTAAGCCAAAAGAGATACTCAACTTCCAGAGCACACTGTGTTCGTTCCTATACCCCCCCCCCACATCAACTTAGTTTTAATCAATCAATTCAGTTTTGATCAAGCCAACTGAAAGATTTGTAAAAAGAAAAAGTATAGTTTAGTTTTCTGATTTTTGCCATGGCATCCATAAGAAAAACCCCAGTGACTGGTGGTTTAAGTATGTCAAATTTGTATAGAGTTTGAACCACTTCTCTTTTTCTTTCTAGCTGAATTTGTTCCTGGTGATGCAATGAAAACAGCTGAATGAAACTGCAGCTTCAGACGGCACTCATACCCTTCATCTTTCATTCATTGCCTGCAGTAACAAATTTCCCCCAAATTAAAACATCTCCTGTTACTTGCTTTACTTCATCAGATTCTAAATAGTTTCATGAAGTTAACAGCAAGGCATAATATTCAAACAGACAAAGCTACAATAAGGCCCTTTACAGACGATATAGGACCAAAAGAAGACATACTTCAGCATCTCAAGATTCTGCCAAAGATTCTGCTGTACCTCCACTTTCTGCAACTCCTCTGACTGAACTGACTTCTGCACCTTGAGATGTAAAATGTGCTGCATAATTCTACTGGAAACAAAAATACAAAATGATGTTAGTGCCATCCATATTTGGGGCTTGGTGAGCAAAGCAGATGAGGTACATTACCAAAGACTGACAAATTTGAACCAACTGAAAAATGACACTTTGGGGTATTCTAGAGCCTTTGGAATAGGTTCCTGAGTGAAAAGTAATGGTGGATTGGGTCCCATGAAAATAATCTTTGCTGGTTTTTCCTTGCAGTGTGAAGATGCTAGAATATATGGGATGTGTTCTTCTAGGTTCCACTTTTAATTCATATGGGCCAAACATGAGTCTTAACAAGAAACACCATCATAGAAACCAAATGTGTGACCTAGAACATGGCCCAGATTCCCTTGAATCCTTTATGTCAGAAGCACGGTTGTTAGTTGGCAATCAAATTGATATTGAATGAATTCTGTAAAGGTAGAAAAGCTGGGAACTATTGCTTTGTATAATTCAAATGCATAATTTAACATAACGGTACATTTATCAGGGAGGAAAGGTGGCATGGTTACGAAACAGGTCTCGGAAGCTAAGGCGGGTTCAGTCCTTGGATGGGAAACCACCAAGGAAGACTCTGCAGAGGAAGTCTATGGCAAGCCATTTCTGCTTCTCACTTGCTTTGGAAGTCTCTTGTTGGGTTGTCATAAGTCAGTGGTGAACTGATGGTACTTCACACACACACACTCACCTTTATCAGGAGTTCATTATTAGTGTTTGGGAAAAGCTTCATGGAAGACGTTTGCTGGATCTGGGACAAAACTAACTGAAACAGACATCTGTAGCACAAAAAGCTCAGAGGAATGGCCATCATTTCCACCAGTCAATAAGTCAGTCAAATAACACAGCTGAAGTACAAGCCATTTATCAAGGCAAGTTATTTATTTATAAAATGTGCCCATTGAAGTGCACTATCATTTTACGCCTTTCAAAACATTTGCTCTCAGACAACATATTTATAATTTGAAAATGCCAATTGTTGGTATCTATACTGCTGTTCAGCTTGAGTACATGTATTTATTTTATTTATTGTTTGTATTAATTTTATTTATTATATTTTGTTAATTGGACCTTTTAAAATGTCAATGGTATTAAAGAAGTGCAACTCCAGATAATATGGGTAGCCTGGATTGTATCTGGATAAAACAAAGCATAGAAAATATTCTGAAATAGAGTCAGGCTGTGAGTTACATTGGTTTCAGACATTACATGGGGAAGATGGGGACAGGAAGAACAACTGAGTTGTACATTCACTATTGTCCTCCTAAAGCCTGTTTTGGGAAATTTACCCTTCCAGTGCAGAGTGATACCAATCTTCCTGCTTAGGGATGCTCGAACACCCACCAGTTCAGGTCACATCCTGTCCACCAGACTCAAACAGGAAGCTGAGCTTTTTACCTTTGCGGTTGTTTGGCAGGCTGTGTCACCATATTCTTTCCTAACAGTACAGTACAATGCAACTGGCTTTTTACATAGGCCTCTTCTCATACATACACAGCCATGCAAAAATTGAAAATAAGTCACTGTTGCCCACTTCGGGAGGCCTAAAGTAAAGGTAAAGGTTCCCTTGCTCGAAAGCCAGTCGAATCCAACTCTAGGGTTGCGGTGCTCATCTCCGTTTCAAAGCCGAAGAGCCAGCGCTGTCCGAAGATGTTTCCATGGTCATGTGGCCAGCATGACTAAACACCAAGGCTCACGGAACGCTGTTACCTTCCCACCAAAGTGGTACCTATTTATCTGCTTGCAATTTCTTGCTTTTGAACTGCTAGGTTGGCAGGAGCTGGAACTAGAGACGGGAGCTCACTCCGTCATGCGGCACAATCGGTCTCGAACTGCTGAACTACCGACCTTCCATAGCCTGCAGTTCAGCGTCTTAACCACTTGAGCCACCACAGCTCCTTTCGGGAGGCCTACAGGGGCTGTAAATTATATAATGTATTGATTGGTCATAGACCACTAGGATTTCTTTCAGGGTACATCAGTGTACCCTGGTGGAGTTCAGCATTGACTAGCATGGAGAAATCCCTGCTCATGTATCAAGTGCAATCAGTTAAGAATAATAAGGGAGGCTAACAAAGAATCATATCCTTCCTCTCTTCCACTCCTCTCTCTTACACAGACAGAGCAAATTACCAGCACAAAGGAAATTCCAGTTCCACAGAAGGGCAAATGACATCGTCATGACCAGTGGGGGAATCTCTTAATCTCAGCTAGTCAGAATGAAAACCGCAAGCACTAGGAAGTCCTGCCAACCAGAGGCAAATCTGTGGTTGGATGCTTTAACCAAAAGTACCTTAAGAGCCAGTGTTGCGTTTAGAGCAGCTGGCTAAACCACTCTTTGTGCAAGCAGTCTATGGCTTTATCAGCAGAAGAGCATAGAAGAAAACTAAAATACTTAATGCAAATTATGGAACACTTAACGCTACACACACACCACCATAACAAATAATGACGAAAACAAAAATAACATGAGCATAATATAACCGGTCACCACAACCAAATTCCCCAGAAGGGCTAAAGTTTCAGCACATAAGATACAGTTCGACAGAGAGTGAGGGAAACTCTCTGTGACCTCCCCATGACAAAAAACAAAACAAAACCAGCAGCAAGCTGTAACTGCCCTATCCTGGATGGCCTAGGCTAGCCCAATCTCCTCAAATCTCATAAACTAAGCAGGGTCGGTCCTGCTTAGCATTTGGATGGGAGACCACCAAGGAACCCCAGGGTCATCGTAAATCAGCTGCCACTTGACAGCAATTTTCACCACCAATCCATAGCTTCTCTGGGAGTCGTGACCCATAGCCTTTTGCATATCAAAGGTGAGCAGGGCTGCCAAGAGCCACCATGGGTCTCCCGGACAAAGATTCCATCTGCCTCCCCCCCAAAAAAATATTATAACAAATCACTTGGCTGGCTGTTAGCGTGCATCTATAATAACAAAAGGATCCACATGTCCATCTGTCTGTCCATTTGTGGCAGGCACAACTCCTCAGAAAATAAAACTATGAAAGTTTTCAGGATGATCATTGGGATTCCAGGGCCAAAAATGAAAGGAACTGGAATATCTTGGCCCAGGTGATCTCCAGACCATCACCCCCCACACAAGCTTTTTGCAATGGGAACTAAGGTTGTGTAGTGGTTAAAGTGTTGGACTAGGATCTGGGGGACCCAGGTTCAAATCCCCACTCATGCCATGGAACCTTGCTGGGTGATCTTGGGCTCGTCACTCCCTTTCAGCCTAACCTACCTCACAGGGTTGTTGTGAGGATAAAACAGAAGAGGAGAATGATGAAAGTTGCTTTGGGTCCCCTTGGGTATAAAGGCAGGATAAAAAGTAAATAAATCAATTTTAATTTCTGTTCCTCATTTGTTACCACTGAGGCAGATTAACATTTATTATCATGCATGTTAAGGCTGGAGGGGAAGAATCCTTTTACTGCTTTGATAGACTATGGGGAAATATTAATTCCCCACTTCTGTCCATAATATCAACAGAGGTTTGCTTCTATACTACTATTAAATAC